CAACTGTCCAAAAGTGAGTTAGAGCTTGTCTCTTTATATATCGAATAAAAATTAATGGGCAAAGCCTTATTAGAGAAAGAGACTCCATCTAGAAAAGGTGTAAACTTTAAATTTGTTGAAGTCAACTTTTTTTGCAATGTCATTACGAAGAATGATTGTTGACTATAGAAGCGATAGGGTTTCTCGACGTTTTTTGTTTCTTAAATAGTTGTAATCTTGACAACCTACTTCGAAAGCACAGTCTCGAGAAAAACACGTTTAAAGTTTTAAGTGACTATAAAGTTGACCTCGAGCGCGTTACTTTTCAAAGCTATATCTCCAAAACTATTACCGATATCAACTTGAGATTCAATATGTCGTAAAATAAAATTCACGATATGTGTGTAAATGCCAGACTATGTGGCAGTTTGCAATAACTTTTGCGAAATTCTTAAAGTGTAAACTCTTCATTTAACACATGCTTTCACGCACATACACCCATATCCACTTATATACATATGTATGAGTATATGGGCAGTCATGCATTGCACATTTATAATTGAGTTTCCATATAGTATGAAACTTATAGGGAAACATAGGCGCACAGGCCTCCAGCAACTCCCACGTTAATTTATTTCCGAAATTACAAAGCCCATAGCAACAACAGCAACAGCAACACTAACCAAAAACTACAAATGCGTAGAATCTAAAATGGAAAGTGAATTAAAAATATTGCACGAGGTATAGAAGAGGAACGGCCGCTAAGCAGACGCACACTGAAGTACGAATACACATGCATATAATTTGCAAGTAAGTAGTAATATAGAAGATAAATAGATGTACCGTTACCTTACTAACAGGATGTTGACTGAATGTTTGTATGTATTCGATGCAGTCATCGCTACGTGTGTGAGTAATCAAATATACATATATAGCGATTGTATATACTAATATACGCACTCATTTACACATATATTTTTGTGCTTTACCATATATGTGAGCTTTAATGTGCGTACTATGTATAGCCCACAGGCAAGTCTCTACCCACAAACACATACATACATAGATGCATACATTATATGCCTCGTGCTTGTGTACGTGCCTGTGCGCCTGATGAACTGCTATAAAATTCATTAAAATTCATGTGTTGGCCGTGAGCATGAGAAAGGCCTACACATACATACATACGCATACATATTCACACATACATACACATAGGCGCGTATATGCGATTTTACGCCAACCTACGCCCACACGCCCATACCCATAAACTAATGGGGGGCAAAAGAAAAAGAAGCAAACCGCCCAACCAACACGCCTTTTAAGGCTAATCCCTCTACTCCATCATGCGTGACAAAATCGAGTGTGCGGCCATTGTAGGCATCCTTTTACACATTTCCATTTCCCCTATTTCAATAGCGTTCATAGCCGTTGGGTAATACCCTCTCATTCATATGGATTATTGTTGTGGCATTATAAAAAACACCACCACACCATAACCGTTAGCGCGCCTAGCAGCATATCTATTTTACATTGTCATCCATTCCTCTTCTACTTAACTTCATATGTGGGTCGTCGGTTGCCCACACGCACCCACATTGCGCATCGACCCCACATGCATGTATATATGTATATGTGTGTTGGTGTGCGCACCTTTGATTCCCAGTGGTCAAATTATGATTATCCTTTGTGCATGTTTAATGTTGTAGTTTTGCTCAGACACAGGCGCTGGGACATTTCAATTAAACTTATGTGTGATTAATGTTTTAGTAGGTTTGCCATATGCGTGTGGTAAGTACGAGTGCGCTGATTACATAGTGGTAGCCGAAAAAACGACAGAAGAAAAGCTTAATTAAATTCTAGGCCTGAGGGATCTTCTTAGAATGATCAAAAAAAAATAGACCAAATGCGAAAAAATATAATTACTCTTCTTCAAAGAGTTAGAAAAGAGAAAAGTATACACAGTCTAGATATAGTTACAGCAAAAATTTTATATATCAGACAGTCCATACTATTTTTAACTATAGACGTAAAGCGATCCAAAAAAATGCTAAGTCATCAAGATTTCTTAATTCTAGCCTTTTCCGATGAGTCCAATTGTGAAATACGCCTATCAACGTGACGAGCTCAGTCGATTTAGCCATGTCCGTCTGTCTGTCTGTACATACTCGAACTTGTGCCTCAGTCCTTAGGATACCGATCTGAAGTTTTACATACGGGAGAAAGAAATTCCCAAGGAAGCTGCACATTTATCGGAACCACTATATCATATATAGCATATAGCTGCCATACAAATTTATCGATTTAAAGCAAGTTACTTTTTTATTTGACAAATTATTTTCACAAAATTTGGAATGAATTATTATTCAAGGCAACGCAACAATCGCCAATTAATTTATTTAAATCAGACCATTATAGCATATATCTGGCATTCAAACCGACCGCTTACAATGAAGATAAAGAACTTTTTATACTTGTTTATGTTAAATGAAATCCACCTATGAACTAAAAGCTATAATACCCAGCTTCTGCTTTTAATTTTAATGTATAAATTTGTTAAAATATTCCTTTGAACATCAGTTATTAGTGAAATGGGTTGTCTACTTAATATTCTTCTGAAGCGAGTTCAACTTTATTTTAAAAATATTCCCCCGGGGTCCAAAGGGGATAAGTAAATTCTTTTCCTCACAAAAGGTATTGATGGAAAAATTCAGCTTTATTGATTTGACAGGCATTTTAGAGATTAGAATATATGTAAGTTAAATATGTCTTAATAGTTGCCACCAGTCCTTAAATTCAAAATTGTTAGAAAAAACAAAATACATTTAAAAATAAACTAAAAAAAAAATTGTAAGCAATTTCAATTTTCATCCCTGAATTGAAAAAGATATTTTTAAAGAGTTGCCACCTGTCTGTAAATAAGTCATACTGAAAACATAAATAAAACTTTAAACTCTGCAATGCCTTATAGAGAAAAAAACTGAAAGATTTGAAACCAGAGTTGCCATCTTTAATAAATTTCTGTATATATAGAATTTTAAAACTAAATCAATTGAATTTTTTATTATTGGATTTTATAATATTGCAATAAAATGTTAGAAAGTATTATTTCCATTATTTCGCTATCTGGAGTTGCCGCGCCGTTTAAAAGTATGAAATATTTTAATGTGATAAAATATATGCTTTATAACACTTTAACCAAAAATTTCAGAAACGGGTTCTTGAAACTCTGATTATACAGATACATTAAATTCTTTCATGTATAACTTCTAAAAAAATATATGAATAATACGCGAGTGATGTCAACACAATCGTTAACGACAACTATTTATCTGAAGACCAATGTTTTTTGTAACGCCCACTTTCCAAGGAATGCCCCACAAATGCTTACAAGTCTACATATGTGAGTGTATGCACACAGCGTTCAACTAGAACAGCGCTCAAACCCATTGCCTACGCATAACATAAAAAAGAAGAGCATAAATTTAGGCGCATGAGCTCAAGCTTAAAAGCTGCGCACTCATTAAAAGTCAAAGCGAAATGGTAAAATGTTTACATTTTTCATTTATATTCCATTATTCGTGCGATTCATTCATAGCCGCCTACCACTTTGCTAGCTTTATGTAAGCTACCGACGCCTATACCCCGCCAGACTAACAGTTTTTCAACAACTTGAACACTTTCAGTTTTTTTGCGCCAATTACAAATGTACGCTTGCTTTCTATGTTGCATTATGTACAATAACATTACATGCGTGTGAAACATAACACACGCATACATAAGCAGGTGTATGGGAGTGCGTTTGTGTGCGTTTGTACAATTGTATGCTATGTGCGCATATAAAAGTCACATGTGTATGCCATTAATTTGCGAAAGCGCTACAACAACAATAGCAACACAAGAGCAAAGCCAGATCATAAGCGTTGTGTGTATTAACGCAACAACAAACAGCAACACAAAACCGAAAGCAAAGCAAATTGAAAGCACAACAAAGGCAGTGCCAAAACAAAAACAAGAAAAAAAACCAAAACCAAAACCAAGCACAGTTTTTCAGAATGTTACAAAACCGCTTACACAAACCATTTTGACTTTGCGCGGCTTACACCCGCAACCTACTGTTGCTGCTGCTGTTGCTATTTTGGCTCAAACACAGCAGCAACAACAACAACATAATAGTTTATGCAGTGTAAAGCACACCATGTGGACGGTAATGATGCCAGGTAACAACAACACTGCAATAAGGTGGTAGCTATTCTATTTTTTTGTTGCCGACATTTAGGCTCCCCAATGGCGTATACGTTGTCGGCCGCAACGCCACACATTCAGCGAGTGTGGCTTTTGTCAGTGGCGACAGGCACGGGAGCTCCGCCAAACGCAAACTGCCCGCTGCCATTTAGCTTTCACCTAAACCGGCGAAGCTTACAAGCTCACTTTTTTCAGCTACAACGCCTAAATGTATGCACGCCGTTTTGTAGTTGGTAGTGGTGTGGGCCAGTTTTATAGCAGTGACCTTTGGGATCGTCGACTTCTGAATGTCCTATGTGTGTGTGTGTGTGTGCGTACTTGTAAACATATCCGCTGGCATGCGCTTAAGTTGCTCTGCCTTTTGGCCCACATATCCTTTGACTTTACGCGTACAGCTTTGCTATTTTTTTGTTTTGTATATTTATTATGGCACATTTTCCGAAATTGGCCTTACGCATTTCGCTTAATTGAAATGAATGCGTGCGAAAATGTGTTATTAATGAAGACATTCCGTTTTGTTCTTCTTTATTTGCGGGTGAGCAATGTATGCCACGGCTTTCACTTGCCACACACGTTTAAATGGTGTTAATTTATTGAAACGCTTAAAAGGATATGGCACAAGGATGACGCTGCCTTACACCTAAGCAATACACAATGCGCATACACAAATTATATAATAGGAGCTTACATGTCAGCGGAAATGTCATATACACAAATGCTTACAAATGAAAATTGCGCGCCATTATTATTTTAGAAAGATAATTAATTTAAATATCAAAGACAGCCACATTTATAATTCATTTGGAGCTTTATTCTGTCAGCTATTATTTACTTCAGAAAATTGAAAATAATGTTTCTTGGCTTGATTGGCAAACTATGGTCCAATTTAAACTCTTTCATAATGTAGTCATTCAGCTGGCGTATTATACAATCGAGGGTGTAAACAGGGGTTAGTGATATTTAATATTGCAGTGACTTGTTTAAATCTGTCTCTGTTGAATTCTAAATAGAACAATATCAAAAAAATTCCGGCTAAACCAAGAGTCCACTCATATTGAAGAATCAACAGACGCAATCGGTGGGTGAGTTTGTAAAGTAATCCAAGAGCATTCAATGGAAATTCAGTGCCTTAGTGTACGAGCCGCAAATATATGATTCTTCGAATTTCTTGGTTGACTTTATATCATAATGATTAGTAATTATGTGAGTTATCTTAATGAAATTCAGAGAGCGTTTTTCTATAATAATTATTTGTCCTCGTTCTTGAAATGGTTTTAACCAGGTCAATATTCTTTCTAGGCAATCCCCCTAGTTTAAAGAAACACATTTTAACACATACGACCTAAAAATAAACTTCACCGAATAAATTTAAATTTCGACCGATCGACGAAATCTTGAGGCATCGATAAAAAAACAATGTCTATAAGAGCGTACATTTATAAATGTGGCTCCAAAGATCTTTCAAACAAATTCTATCCAAAGATTTACTTTCGTGTGGTACAAAAATTAGAGGCACGCAGTTACACATGTTTCAGCTTGGAATACTAAAAACGTTCAGCAGCTGTACCAAAATTTTAGCAAAAACTAATCATAATAATGTGATTAAACTAAATAAATTGCATCAACATTTTCGAGAGTTTTTTAATCGCTTAACTAAGTATTGTTTGTAGACGCGTCAAAAACGGAAATTTATAAAGAAAATTACGCCTTATTTTCAACTTTTTCTTTGATAATCCGTTATTTTGGTTTTGTCGATTACGTTCCGGTAATATAAGCAGTGTTTCGATTGGCCGGGAGCTAAACCTTGTATCGATGGAGAACGAGTTAACGCAAAAAATACTCGCTTCTGAATCACAACCAAATTGAACCAATTTTGAAGCGGATCGTTAATGATGATGAAAAGTAAATGACTTATGACAACGACAATCGAAAACGGTAGTGAACGTATCGCAATGAGCCATGGCAAGCTGTGAACAAGCCACGAACGACGCTCGATAAATTCTGCTATGTGTATGATGGGATTGACAGGGAATTACCAGTGCTTCGTCAGAAGATACAAGAGCTTGGTTGGGATTTTCCTATGCTTTTTAAGGTAATGAAGGTCAATAATTACACTAAAAACTTTGTCTTTATATAACTTTAAATTGCGATGCGCTCAAAACTACAAAACAAAAGTGAGACACATCACAACCTATGTTTCGAATTTCAAATGTTTTCACCTTAAAGCATTCAAAATAGATACAAACATATTTACAGCATTTCTCTCCACATTTCATTCGTTTTAGAAGGCAGTTCTAACCGGCCAGCTGTGTCGATGAGCCTTCATTTTCACGGCTCATTGAATTATGGCATTCAGACAGCTAACGGAAATAGAACGGTATGCATAAAGAATTCCACTCGAGCATGTTGGTTTGTAAATGTGCGTAAGTAAAGGCAAAGGAAATCAAAATCACGTTCATTCATTTGTCAGATGAGCAGAAAAAAATTAGAGTACATTCCTTACGCATGTACACACACACACACACACATACAGACATGTACATGAGATAATAATGCCAACGATTGCAATAAAGCCAGGCGAAGCAAAACGCAGAGAGTTCTTCAAATCTGATTGCTGTTGCTAGGCAACTTAGTAAACTATGTGCCTGTTGTTGATGTTTTTATATAAATCTGAGTGTAGTAAATACATAATTTCATGCGTAGTTCTTATTTCGTTAGGCAGTGGGAAAATGTCTTCAATCACTTTTGTAAAGATGAAAAGTACATAAGTCAGTAGGAAAGCATGAAGGGGAGATTAAAATCAAGTTTTCTTTGCTTTTTTTAAATCAAAGCTAGTAATTAGTTCATGGCGTACTCAAAGGCGTATTAGCAGCTTAAAAGAGTTTTTTTTTTTTAATTCACCATTTGAAGTAAAAAGAAAATACTGCTGTATAGGATTGCTATTTCTAAGAAACATTCGATATCCCTTTTAATTAGTCTATTTTTTGTATTTTCTAGGCTATTAATTGCCAATTTTTTCAAGTCTTTATATGAACACGACAAATTTCTACGTTTTACTTTAAACAAAAAAATTCCTAGTTACTGAAATTAGTGTTTTTTACATATTGAGAAATAAAAAACTTTTTTGTTATGCAATATGACAGCAACTTTGTGAAAAATGTATTTTTATATTAAAATTGTAAAATACTATTTTTTTTTTCAAAATATATTAACAAAATTATATAATTATAGATTTTTTGAATGATAACATCGTATTAAGTTAGTTGGTATATCCACAACAGCCTCATATTTTTTTAAACCTTAGAAATTAAAATAAAAGATTTCGAAATTTTTTTTATCTGACTGTTCAATTTAAAAAAATTAACAGTATTTTTGTTGTGTTTCAGAAGTAAATTTTAAAGATTGTGCTTAATTTCAAAACTATCTTTTCGACAATACAACAAACGTTTTAAATGTGATGTTTGTTTCTCTATAGTGTAGGCTTTAGTTTGATCTTTGCCTATTTTATGGAGCATATGCTATAGTGGTCCGATATCGGCAGTTCCGAAAAATGAACAACTTCTTGGGGACAAAAATACGTATACAAAATTTCATATCGACATCTCAAAAACTGAGGAACTAGTTCGGGTATATACAGACAAACGGACATAGCTAAATCGACTTAGCTAGTCACGCTGATCATTTATATAGATGCTTCATATGGTCTACGACGTTTCTTTTTGAATAATAATGCTATATAAAACAAAAAATCCAACTCAAAATTATTCAGAACTTATATCCCAAGTGTTAAAAAAAACTATAATTAACTTAAATATTTGTCTTATATTCGCGTTTAATAGTTTGTTAAATAACACCATTAATCTCTTTTAAAAATAAATCTTGAAGGAGTCGATATGTTTGTACTCATATATTAATACAATAGGAACCAAAAAATAATAATTATAGAGAGATTTACTACCAGCATAAGCTGTTTTTAGTGTTCGGAGAGACTTCGAGTTGTTTGAAGTAGTGTCATCACAGTATAGAATTTCTCAAAGTTACATATGTATCATTAGACCAATAAAATACACAAATTTTTTGTTGAAAATTTGTAATCTAAATAAAATAAATATTTGTTATATTTTTAATGAACAAATTCTTTCTACTGCTATTGTTTTTATTTCCAAATTTCTCAATAACCCAAACAAACAGCTCTAAATTTTATGCTCAACGCACAGCTTTCTTTGCTTTACAGCGCCACACACACACACACCGGCACTCTTTCACACAAATAAAAAGCGAACCAAAATATTTTGCATACTTTTGAGTGTTTATCCTTGCGTGTATATTTGCACAAATAGCACACCACAAATCCATAAAACACTTCGTTGCCATTACTTTGAATGCATGTGTGGGTGTTAGTGTGTTGGTATGTGTGTGCTTACTTATGCACTTATACGAGTGTTAAGCGCAAAAAACGGGTTACATGCTGAAAATGGGTCATTAAAATGCCAGCTCTTCTACTTGCCTGGCAAAATTTTCATAAGTCTTTATGTGCGCCAGCAAATATTCCTTCTACGAGCCACTTTTTCCTTTCGTTTTCAACTTATAAGCTAAAAATATAATCACGTACTGTACTTACCCGCACGAAAATAGACGAATATCAGCACGTGTGTGTGTGTGGGTGTGTGTGTGTAAAAAAACGACGTTGAGGAAAATGAAAAATCAGTCAGCGTGGACTAGCATCTAAATGAAAGAAGCTGTACAAACTGTAACTGCTTAGCAAATGACACATAAACACCCGCACACTAATACAAATATTAACACTTCTATGTACACGTACAACAACAAAAATTTGTATGCGCTGCTTACCGATGTTTGCCGTTAGTTATTTTCGCTTTTTTCTTCTTCACTGCCTGTGTATATTGGCTGTGTTTGTTGTCATTGGCAATGCTGGCGTTTTTGATCACGTCCGTGAAAATATCTGAGTAAAAGAAAACACACCTACAGATGAAGCGTTGGATAGGTGGAGAGGTGGATGTGCAAAAAATTATTGATGCGGAAATTTATTCAATTTGCGTGTAAATTTGTGATTACACACACACATGTACATCTTTAAGCATATGTACGAGTATATGGTATGTGGGCGTGAGTTCGTGTGGCTAAAATGCGATTTGAGTTGAATGACCTCGATTCTATTATAATTTGGTTGCGAGCCTTGTGCGGAAGTTAATTTAATAAACAGCACGAAACGTGTTGTTATAAAAAAAGAAAAGGTTTTCGCAATATTTTATAATACCCTGAACAGGGTATATTACGTTTGCCACGAAGTTTGTAACACCCAGAAGGTAACGTCGGAGATGCTATACTGTATACATATACATAAATTATCATCGAAACGTCTTTCTGTCTGTCACCTTGCCTCTCAGTTTTAGAGATATCTATCTGGAAATTTGCACAAATTCCAAATGAGTGTATTGTGTGTGGGACCACTATGTATAGCACATAGCTTCCTTACAAACAGATCGAAAAAATTTAAATAAAGATCTTTTTATACCCTTTTTTGATATACGTTTATCATATAAGAAATGCACCTATGAAGGGTATTATAGCTTCAGTGCAGGCGAAGTTAACGTTTCTTATTGCCTTGTGTTATTTTTGCTCGCGAAAAGGATAACAATAAAATATAAACTGATGTCGGAAAGGAAAAAAATTAAAATTTTTTCTTCGTTTTAGGGAGTAGCAGGGCTTTTCTGTGAATGTCGAGAGTAGACAATCAGTATAACGAAGTACTTTCAAATTGTTTCGAAGCAATTCATACAAATCCAGTAAATAATTACAAACTTAAGGTGTTTATTTGGTGGTAAAAGAGTCTAATACCTGATTTTGTTAAGGCAAATTTTCATATACCCCACAATGAGATATTTGTAAGTTCAATAAATTATATACTTGTAGATGACCGTTATTAAGAAACAGAAGTTCTTCTAAATCTAATATTTTATTATTTATTGCGTACCTGGGATGAGGTGATATATAACCATGTGAGATGTACTAAAAATCAGAAAATCCTAAAAACCTATTTCCAAGATCAAACTGTCCCTTTCACCATAGACGTTCCTTTCTTAGTTTCAAGGCCACAAAACCAGGCAAAAATGCTTGAAATTGAGATATCTTGATAACACGTTTTCTAGGCGTGTTTCTAAACACTATAAAAAAGTTGGACAATTTCCACACCCACGAAATGTATTTAACTAAGAGTCTATAAATATGTTACAAATTAAGATATAAAACTGTTATTTAGTACAGGGCACCTGTGATTCAAATCATTTTAAAAAGTGCACGGACACCGCCCGCTAATAAGTTTAATTTACATATTGCACAAACTACTAAAGCTATAGTAAACAAACTTGCTAAGGTTTTCTAACACCTCCTCGACTAGTGTTTTGGTGTAAAAATTGGTGAACCTAGATGACAAGCACACCCAGCCATTATACAACGGTTATGTTGAAAATTACTAAAGGTGTGATAACTAACTAAAAACATACAACAGTAGCTTAAACTTTAACAGTTTTTTGAAAATAAAAGTGAAAACATCATAGGTATTGGTGTAAAAACAGGACAAGGGGCATGGCACTGTCAACTTTAAGATAAAATTTCATATATAAGAAACAAATCGACTAACCTAATTTGAAGCACGATATTATCATGAAACTTTAATGTTACAGTATAAAAATTGACGATATCTAACCAAAACTCCACCCACTAGGATTTGGACTATAAATACATAGTGTCTTATAGTTATACCCTCACGCATCGAAAAATATCTGAAATCGTACTAAAACTTTTCAAGCCCTCTGATATCGCATATATGAGCCTCAGTGCCTGACTTTGTACCGAAAATATAGGTTAATTTGTGAGATATGTTAATGAAATTCAGAGAGCATATTTTCCTGATAATGTGACGCACTTGCGCAATTTTCTAGTTTTCGGTTGATTTTATGTCATATACATATATTAGCCAATATGTGAGATTCCTTAATGAAATTCAGAAGGCATCTTTTTTCATAACAAAATGTTCTTATGCAAAAAATTAATAAAATCCTGTCACTCTTCTCCTTTACCTAATGTAATGATTTGAGACTTAACAGTTGACTTTAAACCATTTATTTAGGTCAGTTTGTGCGATATGTATTACGTGGCTCCTTGAAAATTGCTTAAGTAAAAACTGCGCGTTAAATACGAACTTTGCTTTTCATTCCTTATGTAAAATATTGATTTTGGTTTAGAAAAATATACAATACGCTACGAAATTTATTAAACTATAATAAAATATTTTATAAGATATACTTACATCAAAGCTTAACACTAAAAAATACAGAAATACACTGAACCTCACAGAGTAGCGAATCGAACCAGCAATTGGTATAAATCAAATAGAGTGACATAATCAATTAGGGATAAAATAGCAAATGATTATACCACTATTGTAAGGTATACACACACTCTTTTGTGCTGAACTAAATTGTTGGTATTAGTAAGCAACATTGCACTAGTATGTAATTTTTTCACAATCGCGTACTGCTAAACATAACGAGTGCTCAAATGGCGATTAGATAAGATCATGTAAATTTAATATTAATAACCTAGCTAACTACAGGGCATCTGTATACCAAAATTTGAAAAATTTTAGATTGGTTAAACAAAAATATAAAAACTAATCAAAGTTTATTTCTACAAGTCTGGAAAATTAAAAATCAAGAAATAAAAAGCATTAGAAGATTGTAAAGTGGTCACTAAAATATGTACATAAGCTCCACAAATTTCTCAATTAAAAATTCCACAATCCTTTAGAAAAAATTTTAAAATACTGTAAAACTTTTTGCTACTAGTTTTTACAACTTCCGCAGCGAAAATAGTTAAATGTAAAATTCCTTAGAATTAGAAATTAATAACATGCAATTTCCTTTCATAACATACACTTTCAACCAATCTGTCAGTGCCTCACACACACATTTTCTCTCTCTCTCTCTCTCTCTCTAGCACTTTATATTTTATTGTTCACTGGCATTTA